TCACATCATGAATATTATTCTAGAGCTCCTTCCGTCGTGATTGCGATTCAAAATAAAATTTTTGCGGGGAAAAACTGGCCTGACTTTTGCTGCTCAGGCTGATTTAAAGCTGGACGAGTGGATGAAAGGGTTGATGTCTCGTTCTGCTATATGTTGCTGAAGTTAAATTTGTTTAGATTAGTTATGGCTACTTGTTGAAACTGAGTTTTAGTAGTTTCCCGCTTTCCAAAGATTTCAAAAAATTCCAAAAGAGTACATAAATATTTTTCGTATTGTTTAGCTATTCCTGTCATCGCAGCATTATGCGCTACTTGCTAAGCAACTGGCTACCGTTGTTCATTTTCTGAATTTCATTTTTAAATTCAAATTTGTTGCCAGAACAAAATTTGTGAGTCAGAACATTTGTTCAATCGCCGATAACTAATTCAGAAGTTGCGGAAGATTTTTCGACACATCGTAGTATCGAGGAACCCCTTGTTCTAACAACGCAGAATGTTCTCAAAAAACACAAATTTCAAGAGAAGCAAAACATGTAATTTTTGAAACTAGCAGATTTTCCTGACAATGATATCAGTTTTAATGTTGAAAAAACTAGATCATCGAAACAAATCAGTTTTAAAGTAAATGAGAGAAAAAAAACCCATGTCAAATTTTTTTGTACGCAACCTTGTCATTGAGTACAAAGTCGGTTAGGTTTGATTTATTATCAACGTGTTTGGCCCAAATTGAAACCAAAAGTAGTTGATTACTAGGAAAATGTTATAAGCATATTTTCAGCTGTTACTAGTTGTGCCTTTTTGGCCAAAAATTTTTTGATGTCCCGCCTTATCAGATTTAGCAAAGATCCAACAGACGTTATTTTTTTCAAGCTTTTTGACGTATTATGGGTTCTTTTGGGCCACCATCGTGCCATTCAAGCGTGACAACATAAGGCGACAGGGCGGTATTGTGTGTCTAATACACGGTCGTAAAAAGTAGGTGTTACTGTTTATGTGAGCGGACTGACCCTTTTTTGCTGGTACGGACTGAGATGGGTAGGGACGCTTCATATGCACCTCGGACGATTTACCTACACTAACTGTTGATTTTACCTACAATATATTAGTCCATATTTTTTGTTATAAAAATCATAATAATCATAATCATAAAAATCATAATAATAATCATAATAATCATGAATAATAATTAGAATAAAAATAATCATAATAATAATAACCAGACTGTTCGAATCAGGGCGAAGCCCTGAATGTTCCGACTGCTTTTTAAGGTTTATGGAGCAGTAATAACATAAACATCATTAACAAATTAAACGTAAAAAATGAAAAAAAAAAATTTCCAAAATTTGAAACTTTTTCCATGAAAATCATCCCCCCACACGCCATATAAACTACAAAAGAATAGATTTCGCTCCTTGTAACAAATCAATTATGGCAAATAAGCTTCTTTCAAACAATTTGGAACGATTTCTAAGAGGGATTAAATCTCCGCTTACGCGTTAATAGCGCGAAATATATCGCGCGTTAATTGTCCCAAATTAGCCAAAACGGTAATCTTTAAACACTCATAACTTTACGAAAAATGATCACAGGGAAAATTAAAATATCTTTTCAAATTTAAGCTCAGGACAACAATACCTTTTGAATGACATAAAAATTCCGTCAAAAATGGCTAGTTAAAAAGTCGAAATTTGTCTGAAGAAAAAAAAAACCGACCCGAGCACAAATATTCCGTTACTTTCGTATCGAAAGTCGGAACAATAATAATCATAACAAGACTGCTCGTATCAGGGCAAATCCCTGAATGTTCCGACTGCCTTTTAAGGTCTATGGAGCAGTAATAACATTTAAAAATTAAATGTAACAAGACTGCTCGTATCAGGGCGAAGCCCTGAATGTTCCGACTGCCTTTTAAGTTTTATGGAGCAGCAGTAATAACATAAAAAAATTAAATGAAATAAAATAAAATGAAAAGTTTTTTTTCTAAAATTTGAAATTTTTTATGAAAATCATCCCCCCACACGCCATATAAAGTACAAAAAGAGAGATTTCGTTCCTTGTAACACATCAATTATGGCAAATAAGCTTCGTTCAACCAATTTGGAACGATTTATAAGACGGATTAAATCTCCGCTTACGCGTTAATAGCGCAAATTATATCGCGCGTTAATTGTCCCAAATTGGTCAAAATGGCCAAAATGGCAATCTTTAAACCCTCATAACTTTACGAAAAATAATCACAGGTGAAATATTTTTTCAAATTTGAGCTCAGGACAACAATAGCTTTCGAATGATATAAAAAAATTCCGTCAAAAATGGCTAGTTAAAAAGTCGAAATTTGTCTGAAGAAAAAAAAACCCACCCCGAGCACAAATATTCCGTCACTTTCGTATCGAAAGTCGGAATAATAAAACAAAATGAAAAAAAAAATTTCTAAAATTTGAAATTTTTTAAATGAAAATCATCCCCCCACACGCCATTTAAAGTACAAAAGGATAGATTTCGCTCCTTGTAACAAATCAATTCAAGCAAATAAGCTTCTTTCAAGTAATTTGGAACGATTTCTAAGACGGATTAACTCTCCGCATACGCGTTAATAGCGCGAAATATATCGCGTGTTAATTGTCCAAAATTGGCCAAAATGGCAATCTTCAAACCCTCATAACTTTACGAAAAATAATCACAGGTGAAATAGCTTTTCAAATTTGAGCTCAGGACAACAATACCCTTCGAATGATATAAAAAAATTCCGTCAAAAATGGCTAGTTTAAAAGTCGAAATTTGTCTGAAGAAAAAAAAAACCCACCCCGAGCACAAATATTCCGTTACTTTCGTATCGAAAGTCGGAACAATAATAATCATAATAATCATAATATTAATAATAATAGTAATAATAATCATAATAATCATAATAATAATAATAATAATAACAATAAAAAAATAATAATAATGATAATTTTTATTGTGACCAAAATGATGGATATTATTTTGGTTGTTCTTCTTATTAAACTTATTATAAAAAGTAGTAGTATTATCAGAGCCGGGCAAAAACTAGATAGCTGTCTTGTTATGCTGAGTATCCCCGAAAAACCTTATATCAATCCACAGTTCCCACACCCAGTAGTGAGGAAAGGCATGGTCTGGAATTACATTAACCGCGCAAACGTTTAATTTTAGAGGTTATTTAATTGCCATTTTGTGGAGACTTTTGACATTTGAAACCGAACAATTGAAATGAGGCTTAACTGCAGAAGTGAACGAAATTCCTTAATAGTATCAATTGTGGGATCGTTTTGCTGGTGAGGGGATAGAAATTCTGGTGAAGTACCGCCCACAATAAAGAACAGTGTGAGAAGACTAGCCTAGAAACTGAGATTTTTCAATTAAATAAATGATCAGGAACGCACTACCAATTGTTCAGTGACGTTAAGCGGTCCTTCTAAACATCAAGCAATTAGAGAAATTAAATGAATTCTGCTCCTACGTCACACTTGTTTGAAGTCATCCTATTTTGTAAATCGTTTATTCATTGGTGTACTTTTCATAAATCGTTAAATGCACGCTTCGTTTAAAATGTCCATCTTAAAACAGAGTTGATAATCCTTCAAAAAATCTTTTTTATCGCAAAAGTTGGTCACTAAATTCACATTTAAAGTTGTGATTCCTTAGAAAATAGCGCATCGGGAGTATCTGTGTTTTTTTTTCAAATTTAAAAGCTAGGGTCAGATGAACAATTATGGTTTTTGAGAAAAAAGCATTACATATAGCACAGCCATGGTTTCTTTATGAGAGTTCAGGATTGAGAGGTTTGTGGTTCGAATCTCACCGTGAGCTATGACAAGTATTAGATTTTGCGAATTTAATGCAACTTCTAACAGAACACAGGTGCTGCAATTATATTTTGGATTGTCTCTGCCAAATTGGAGTATGTAACAAGAGTTTGGGCAAGTTTCAGTTTTCTTCACCATAGAAAATATGTGAAAGATTTTGCTCTGCTCATCCCAGAAATTATTCTACCAAAGCTGGACGTATGCGTGGACTGCTCTATACCTATATTTTGTCTTTTACAACTATTCGAACTGACAGCGACTTCAAAATAGAAGGGACAAATAATTAGGCAGGCTTGTTTTGTATTCCACGGAAAACGGCTGTTTCATTTGAAGCTAATTCCATTGAAAATCTCTGGTCTTCTTGGTGGATTCTAGAGCCAATTCGCAGTTTTTTGCTAAATTTCAGATTTTGTCGACGGTTCACCGAATTCGTCATTGGTTTCCACAAACACATGTCATCAAATATATGAAATTTTTTCGTTCACTTTCATTTAAACCCAAACTATCAATCCCTTTCAATACCATACCCATTTACTTTATTTTTAATTGAAGTTTTTGAGGCGATGAATAAAAGCGTTAAGCCACGTGTAAAACTCCTCCGTTATTTCCCCTCCCCACCCCCTAATTATTTAGGATAACTACGTCGGCTATTGAGACATTTCATTAAGCACTTGCATTATTAATATTTAAGAATTTTTCAGTGGACTTCTCAGACATTAGTTGACCACCTGTCTCTAAATTCCGCATCAATATTTCATAGTATCGTATGCATTAAAAAGTAATGTGGGACCTGGATAATAAAAAATTTAGGTTCAATTAAACTTCCAAATAAAAATAACCGACTGAGAGGCGAACCCCTCTCCCTATACGCTTCAACAACCACTATTACATGTAAAAGCAGACGTGTCGGTGAAATCCAGACGCGAACCAAACCAAATCTGTGCTCTGTAGTAAAATTCAGTTTTGTAATGCGGGTCGATTTTACGCTCAATTTTGAGCATTCTGAGCGCTTCGATTTTTTTGTAGAAACAACTGCTGAAATCTTGCATGAAATTAGGCGTAAATTTATGCATGAAATCGGGCGTAAAATTTTGCATGAACTTGAGCGTAAAACTTTGCATAAAATCGGGCGTAAAGTTTTGCGTGAAGTTGCGTTTTAACTTTGCTCACTCACCCGATAACGTGTAGTCCTTCTCAGCATATCCTACTGGGCTTCTGGCCTTGCATCGGTAGAGTCCAAAGGATCTCTCGGTCACAGAGCGAATGGCAAGCACAGACAGCACAGTCTCTGAGTCACGTTTTTCGGTCCTGATCACAAACGAGCCCCCTGATCCCCCCGGATGACTTGGACTCCCGGAGTGTTTCTCTTTTGCTGTTTTACGTGGAGGGGATGTCGGAAGACTCGACGATGAATAATTGAAAGTAGATTCGTCATTGACTACTTCTTCTGAATTTAAAACAGAAAGGCGTATAAAACGCAAAAGTTGCATTGCGGCAAATAACTTGTCGATTTTGTCTATCAGGGGCAGATCTGGCATTTTCACGAGGGGCGGGGGGTTTGGGTTTTCGAAAAAAGCTCAAATATTTTGTTGACCTTTTTTTTACGTGGACCAAATTGATTTTCAGAGCTCTCTTAAACCACTTTAAAGACCCTATGTTGTGAAAAAATGCCCTTAGAAAACTTTTAAGGTCGGTAAGCCGAAATTGGGTGTCTTAAAATAGTACCAAAGCGTGGGTCCTTTAAGTCGACAGGGGGTCGAATCCCCAAGGGGGGAGAGAAGGTCCACCCCACCCCCTTCTTAGTCCGCCGCTGCCTTCTATAACATTTTTTTGCTAAAAACAGTCGTGATTTGTCATGCAATTTTACTATTTTATTAAGGTTTTTAAACTTGGAATCGAGTGTATTTTTTTCACACAAAATCAGGTATGCCAGAGGAGTTTTTAGACAGCAGAACGTGTTGTCCAAAATGGAGGTGTGCTTCGCGCACAAAAAGAAAAATCAATCAGCTTTCGCGATATCATTATACATTACTCACCACGATCCAATAAAGTTATTGGTTTGCTGGTATCTATACATTTTATTTACGAATGCGAGTTGAAGCTATTTTTCAGGAGCTTCATTATAAATCCAAGAACCTCAAAGATTAAAATGCCCAGGAAACGGCAACAATCATTCATAGAAGAAATTTGGTATTCTATCAGCTGAAACTAGCATAACTTACCAATTTCGAAATCCAATTCCCGGAATACATAAGCTGCATTGAAATATAACATTGACATGAGAGCGAATTCTGCTTAGACCGTTATCAATTAATTGCTGAGCAATTTATCATTAGTTTCAGTTCTATGGAGGGAAGATTGGTAGAAGTTCTTCATAAGTTATTTGAACGCTCTGTTGATGACAAATTTTCGAATAATGGCAGTTTCGGAAAATTCTTCAGCAAGATAATTTTTTGATTACGGATTTCAGAAAAAAAAACTGATGGATGGTTTTTACTAAATTGAACAATACCGACCTTTTGTCCACGTGACTTCTGGAATGGGCCTGCCCTTCACAAGACAAGTGAACTTGGTTGACCTCCCATCGTATGACCTCTGATTGACCACTGGAGCATCCAAAAAGTCAGGAGGGTCTGAAATTTGGTTCTAAGGAGTTAGTTCAAAACTTGAGAATTCTTACAATGAGGTTTTTCAACTCTAACTCGTGGAGACTTTTTGCGTTCTCAACTAAAAGACAATTTCTATCCATCTAAGTTTAAAAAACTTTGTGTTCAACATTCTTTTTTCGGATCTTCTTAACCATCTATAAAAAATTGCCGACCCTAAAAACAGTAGCGGATTTAGGGGAGTGACCCCTGCCGACCCAAAGGGTCCCCCATTACTGCTATTTTGAGGTATCCATTTTTGGCTGACTGACCTTAAATGTTTTTTAAAGGCGCCTTGGGCGACAATCTATACTAATTTTGAGGGGGGAGCGCGCGCCCAAAGAACGCGCGCCGAGAAAATTTGGTCAAATTAGGGTTTTTACAGTAGTTTAGGAGAGCTCAGAAAATCAAGTTGTTTGACCTAAGAAAAAGGTCGACAAAATTTTTAATTTTTTTTTGAAAATCTGCCCCCCTCGAGAAATTCCTAGATCCGCGCCTGCCTATAAATAAAAGCAGTATATTAGCACTAGAGCGTTCAATCTACAATTCGAATTTTGCATTCTGATTGTTCGAAAATTCGACTTACATAATCTACTTAACAATTACTCGCGCCTTTTCAGGATAGGTGGAGTTTGTTAAGTAGATCCATTTTTTCTTTGGCAGCTTTTTCACAATTTGTTACAAAATCACAGAACTTAGTTGTTCATAGTATTCTCATCGAAAGCCCAAACATGTGTTCATATAATTCAGAAATAACGAAAAAAAAAATCTTATTTGATTCGAGACTAATTTTACCCAATCATTTTTAAATCACTTAATCATAATTATATTTATTTAGTTAACAAAAACTAGTATAGCAACTATTTTTTTTCGTTAACGGGAAGTTGGCATGTTTACAGTTTCTCTAACACGAGTTATTTTTTATAAAATTGTTATCTAGCTATCAGATTTAAAACTCAAAAACATATTGCAGGACATTTTTTTTTCAAACATGGGGATTTTAAAAATGTCAAATCGGCCAAGTTTAATTAGATAAAATGTGTTTTATTATCAGATTTGCTAACGCACAGGCATCAAAATTATTGATTGAGAAACTACCGCATATTGAACCGCGCCGTGCTAATCTATTCAATTAAAGCCACTTTGAAAGTCAATGAAATCATTTTATGCTTGAAATTGCGTAAGTGGTGAAAATATTCTAAATTCTTTCCTTTCTTTCCTTGAGAAAAAAAAATGAATTAAAAGTACTGGGAGCGCTTAAATGTTTGAGGTAATTTTTGAGGTCTTCTGGTCTTTTTAAGTTTGTTTTCCATATTCTTTGTTTTGCTATGTCTTTGTATGAACCTTTATTTATCGTTACTGAATCTTTCTGCGCTTCATTAAAATTTTCCTTGATACGGCAAAACCCTGGATGTTCAGACTAATACTTCAATTTTTAAAAACTGTTTTATGTTGAAACAATCGATAGAATTCCCTTTTAAAAAAAGAGAAATTTTTATTGAGTAAATTAATGTTTCTTAGAACTCGGGCCGTGGCTTAATGCTTGTTGAGATTTTTTGTTTTTATCAAATATTTTGGCTCAATTGCTTTTTTGTCTCAGTTCCGGGCTATTCAATTTTGCATTAGAAAGAAAACACCATGCAATTTATTTAGTCAGAAGAAGCAGAGCTTTTCTATTTTGTGAAACACAAAATGAAACAAAAATTGCCAAAAATTTTTTCGAATTGACCTCAGGTTACATACATCTTCACGTAGTGAAATAAATTGCGAAGAAAAACTGTTAAAATAGTTTTCTATGATTGAATAAAAAAACCTATCTATATACATTTGCAGAATTTTTCTAAAATTGGAAAAACACTAATTTTGAATAAAATCAAGTTTTCAAATTTGTTAGCTTTATTTTAAGGGATATTCCACAATAAATTTAACGCCCAGAGGATTTGGAGTTGAAGATCAGGTTGAAGTTTGGACTGTTTTAACTATTCCGCGCAAATGATCAAATCTCATTAAAAGAAAATTTCTTGAGTTGGGTTTGATGAAAATTTTACATTTGCTGATACATGTGTAGAACAGCCAGATTCATTAGAAACGATGCGTTTTCAAGAATTTATGAGCTGAATAAATAAAAAGAGCCAAAGTAAAAAGAGTCAATCATAATTTTGTCGTTGCTTACCAGTTTGCCGTAAAAAGATATTTACTTCTCTCGTTATGAGAAATTGGCTAATCAAATCAAATCATTTGATCTAAGTAAATGCCTTTGTTTTTCTTCGTTTTAATGGGTTTCACCAAAGTTTTCTGAAAAAAATTGAAAGCTGTAGATTTTCAAAAAGGTCAATTTGGACAATTTCAAAAAAATATGTATTGAATTTCCGGTTTCTCGAGCGTCTCAGAATTGATCTAATCCAATTGAGGAAGCAATGCAAACTGAAATGCGCCAAACTAATTGAGACAGTTTGAGTCAATTTGAACGTCAATGAAGTCATTTCTTGGTTGAAATTGTATTACAGGACATAAAATTTCAGAAATTTTAGTTACTTTTGGAACCTGATCTAAACTATATTTTATGATTGGATAAATTAAATGTTTTACCAATGTAAAGTATTTAATATTAACCAATCATGATCCATCTAACTAACAACCCACTTATTTGTAAGTGCTGAAGTTACTTGTAATTTCAGCACCAGAGAGATTTGAATTTAACTTAGAAATTAGTTGGACTCTCCCGAGCACTTCAGCAGCCGCAATAAACCAGTATACCCTAGATCTATTGAGCCTAGCAGAGACTAGTTAAACAACCTGAGACTAGATAGTATAAGAGTAAGATTAGGATCGGTATTAGACTAAGAAGTTGCACGAATCTATCCGGCCGAAAATAAGATAGCGTGACGAGCAGACGGTGTACCCTATCCGAAATTACTCTATGAGTTACACTTCGGTCCTAACTCATCTGGTGCGACCATAAGTCTCGAACAAGACCTTACTAGATTAGAATTAACCAAAAATAGATTAGAAATTAGACAAAAACATTTACAAAATGTTATACGACAATAATTTAATTGAAATGTCTCTCCGACTCAATAGATCAGAGCCAATATTCCGAACCATAATAGAACTACCCGGAATTGGAAGAAGACCTCGAACCAAAGACGACATACGACAAAGTAGAAACTTGCCGTATAGTTATATGATAGTTCGGCAAAAGCCAGAACAAACTTTTATATTTCGAATACTACTTGCAATGAATTTAGATTTCCATTTGCAAACATAAAACCTTGAAGTTACTCTTCAAAATCATTTCAGGCGCTAAACAAAATTAATATTATACAATAACGATTGATAAAAAGATCTAAGATCGTTTCCCTAAAACTCTGCAGTATTATACAAAACATGTTTGAAAAATATTTATTGGAAAACAAAAATAAAAATTAGTAGCATGACAATAAATGGTTAGTAATCATAAATCATCTTGTTGTTCCAGCTTCATCACCTAAAATATAACAGCAATCATCAACTCACTAATATCATCAAAATACTAAATCTTTCCTTTACACACATTTAAAACTTTATTAAAACTTAAAGTCACTTAATTTAAAATCAGATCATCAAGGCTTATCCTTGGATCTTAAATCATTTTCTACCTAATTAAAATCTCAAATTTGATCATCAAGGCTTATCCTTGGATCAAACAGAACAATTTTGTTCTCCCCCACCCACTTAATTAGTGTCTAACGACCTCAAACGTCGATTCACTACCCAACCCTTTCTAAAGACCCAAGACTAATAGAAATTTTTAAACAAAACTAATCATTCAAATTAGGATAAACAGTGAAGAACTTCGATTATTCATCCTTCACTTGATCCCCCCTCTTACCAGACCCAGGATAAATCTTAGACTTAGTAAGTTTAAAATAGTATCTAACGAACTACTCGCGTTCTAATTATACCTGAACCTTGTGGATCGATTTACTATTCTCCAACCCTTGAACACAATCACTACCCCTAAGTAAGATTAAGTAAGTTAACACCTTAGCTTATACTAGTCACGAGAAAGTAAAAATCATTCTTCGGAATCGATATACTTTTCTCTCCAACCCTGAACAAATAGACCCAGGTTAAGCTAACCAAAAAATCGTAAGAACTAACAGTTTAGGAAAATAGAAATCATTTAACAACCTTTGCATCCGTCATTCTAAACCTTATGTCATTTAAAAACCTAGGAAATAAACAAACAATCATTTTACACAATTGTGAAATAGATAACAAAAAATACGACCTTGTAATCACACCTCATACACAAACAGTTGGATACATTCGCACAAAACGACAAACACTAAAGAGAAAAATAATAACTAAACAAAGACAAATAACACGAAAAAGATTTTCAAAAAATCGAAACGCATTTTCAGAATCAGAAACCAACAGTTTAGACGAACTTTACAAACTAAAAGAATCAATAGATAAAAATTGCCCACTTCACGATCAATTATATTTTTCTGACTCAGAAACAACTTCAAATTCATCACAAAGAGGAAAAAGAAGAATAAAAAAACAGTATAAACACAAACCAGTACATTTATACAATTGGAATCAACCAATTCGACACATTAATAATTACATATTAACAGTCATCGAACGGAAAAATGAGTTCAACACACACCCCAGGTGACGAAACTCCAGATGATGATGAAATCTTTCCTTTTATAGTAGACGCAGATACTGATAGAGGACAACACATATTTTGTCAAAATTTACTCGTAAATTTATTTGAACCCGGAATCAGTCCATGTAAAACAGAGTTCCCCGATGTAAAAATCAAAAGACAAATCATAGATCACTACTTAAAAGATATATGCAACATAACACAACAGTATGGAATCTACTCCATAGAATTCACTTCCCCAAACCATAATAATAGAACATATACTATACAAACAGACGATCTTGATTTAGAATTTTCAAAAGTTTTTTCAGAATATATAAAAAGCATC